CCATATATTTTGTCTTTTATGCAAGTAGTGACCAGTGGAGCAAGGCCCTTAGGGCCGCTGCTCGTAGGAAAACGAAACAAAAGAAAAGAGAGAGCTACGGTAGCAAGTAGTTGTAATTGTGACCCATACGTGCTGGAAAGCAGACCTGACTTCGGATCCAGAACATATATTGCTGGCCTGCTTCGCTCTCACACGAAATTTGCCGAACGTCTTTTGAGATATTGGACCCTTGCAGATGCACTGCTGGGGTCCTTCGGGAAAAAGGCTACTCAATAAGGAATATGTGGGCCCAATTTTTTTTTCTGTCGTCCTCCTCTGTTCTTGTCTTCCTACTCCTCGTATCCCCCCCCTCCTCCTCCTTTTTGGGTTATTTATTTTTTATTTGGTCCACTTCCCCATTAATGCGTGTCATCTTGGTGCAGGGGTCATGCTAATCTTCCCCTTGGGACATTCATTAACATTGGAAGGAGAAGATTAGCATGGCCCCTGCACATGGATGACTTGCTATAAATGAGAAGTAGGAGTAGAGGCGTTTTTTTTCTTTTTTTCCCGGACAATGTAGGGGATCCGGACCAGGGGTACGGACCGGTCTGGAAATTCCAGAATAGTCCGTTTTTTTGGAAGTCTGGATGGCCCCGGGAGGTCCGGGGTCCGGGGTCCGGAATCGGTCCGGTGTCCGGCTCGGCGTAGCTATGGTTTCAGACTAGTCAAGAGTAGGAATTGAATTGAAAATACTTGCTGTTACCTGTTGACTACTATCTGAGAATGTTGGATCGAACATTTATTTTATTTTATTTTAATCGGTTGTATGCCATGCTGCGGTAGCTCCAAGTGAGGACTCTAGTACAGATCACGTGCCACACTGTCGAGCGCATCGGTCCCGCAAGGGGACCGTCCCGGTCGCGTCATGCAGGACTTTGTAGGACTCCTTCGTAGTGGAGCTTTCGCCTCTCCGGCCGAGTGCGTCAGCCGCACCTCTTGCAAACCCCTAAGACAAGATAGGTGTCACGAGAGGCACAACTTACCTTTGCCCGAGGGGCTGTCTCCACTCTTGAACATGTGTATCCTCGGCGAGCTTCCGAACCACATGCGAAGGCTGCTCGGATGCAATCGCAGAGGTGGCACAGCCGAGGGCGTTTCTCCTTTGTTGTAGCATAAGGGGTCCGCGCGGTCGAACTCCTTAATCGGACCCGTACGTGAACCGATGTTGTGGGGGCTGATCTCCCAAGCGTGGCTCTGCGCCGGTCGACTAGGACGGTCCATCTAACCACGAGGTACACTTCACAAAAATAAAATCAAACTCCAAACGTGAATCGCGCCTTGTCCCTTTTTCATATCTTACCCATAAACTTTTGACAATAGAGACAGGCGTGTGTCGCACCTGAGCCTCCGAATAAATGTTGCAGCATCGTAGACCTGGTCATATCAACTAGCCATGCATGAATATGCAAGATGTTGCAAGGATGACATAATATGTGCTACCTATGAACACGCGGTCCTTAATGATTTCGAGGATCGCCTTCGATACTCGAGTGTCGGCTGACACGCGTCTTAAGAGGTGAATCTGACGCTAGACGATCACCTGTGCATTGCAAGGCCTACCCTCTTCTGCACCCTGCGTGAGTGAGCGGTAGGCGGCTTCGGCCCTTTAGTGGCGGTCATACGCCGTTAACCCTGGAACTGGGGCTCCATCTTCGGAGGCCTGGAAACATATCAAGGGGTTGACTTTGGCGGCCGCCACGGACCTCAACGTCCAACTGTAAAAATTCTAAAAGCAGAAGTAAAAAGAGGATCCCGCTTTTCTCAATTCAAATTTGTTCAATCCTTGCGCACTGCGAAAGTAGTCTGAAGAATACACAAAACATGGATGTAATCGGTGTTATAGGACACGAGATCATTCTCACAGTCACAGTGTGACTCCCTTCAAAATATACACATGATCGCAGGCAAGGCAAATCCAGACTTCGACTCACGAAACATACCTGCAATCACATGCATATGTTCCAGAACGACAACCATGCACTACACGGGGTCAACTTCAACCACTCTCTGCACTTGTACCCCTTGCCTTATCCACATAAGCCCCAACCTTTGTCCATCCTTCCAAAATAAACACTCGGTCCTTTTTGAAATGGCCATTTAATAAAAGTTTGGGTAAAAGCCCAAAGAAACAATTCAACCCACAAGGGCTAAGGCCTTAGGTTGAGTTGCGAGAATGAGTTTGAAGTTGAATCGTAAACGGACCTGTTATCAAAAGATAACACAAGACGATTCTCGCGGGATCGAGCTTAAACTAGCCAGATCTTGAATCACAATGATAAAAAAGGACCTGTAACACAGCACAGGCCAATTCCGAAAACTGAACTCTTAAATGTATGGAGATCAAACGCCCATATTTATCCGTTTATGACCAGTTCTGCCCCTTTATTTATCTTCGTGTGCAACGAGCCTTACATCCGATGATCTGGGTGATCAAGAGGCAATTTAAGGACGACCCCGGAAGTCCTTAGGAATTATTTAATGTCGCAGACAGGACGACCACAGCTAGATATCAGATTCCCGCCAAAGGTTATAGACGGTCTAGTGCATGTCTCGCATAGGACTGGCCAGCCAACGTTGCCTCTTATAGCGCAGCAAGAGCTGGAAGGAAAGCAGCAAAGCATGTGTGCTCTACTCCCATGGGTTGGCATGGTGACGGTGACCTGTGCTTCGACCACGGCCCTTCAGAGGCACCGACCCCTCCTTCCAGATGCACCATCAGGAAGAATGTTGACTCTCGAGGTAGAGCGCTCACGACTCCTTAACCAGAAGAGGACACTTAAGTTGGACTCACTTCCTCACCGTAGGAAGAGATCGGGATGGGAAGATAAGGTAAGAAAACAACATACCTGAAGTAGCTGCCCCCAACCACAGATTTCTCACCAATTGAGCCGACATGCATTTTGATGACCGGTCTAGTGCATGTCTCGCATAGGACTGGCCAGCCAACGTTCCCTCTTATAGCACAGCAAGAGCTGGAAGGAAAGCAGCAAAGCATGCGTGCTCTACTCCCATGGGTTGGCATGGTGACGGTGACGCGTGCTTCGACCAGGGCCCTTCAGAGGCACCGCCCTCTCATGCCAGATGCACCATCAGGAAAAATGTCGACTCTCGAGGTAGAGCGCTCACGACTCCTGAACCAGAAGAGGACACTTAAGTTGGACTCACTTCCTCACTGTAGGAAGAGATCGAGATGGGAAGATAAGGTAAGGAAACAACATACCTGAAGTAGCTGCCCCCAACCACAGATTTCTCACCAATTGAGCCGACGTGCATTTTGATGACCAGTCATAGCCTCGGTACCGCACACAATGAAATGGAGTGCCACCTCAACCAAAATGCATTGTCAGCATGTTCTCATCATCCCACATACACCTGCTGTCGCCGCAGTTCCCACGCTATCGCCGCAGCCTTCCTGCCAGACTCCCCTCTACCCGGGAGTGGCTTGACAAGCCAGTGCCAATGTATCCTTACTGCGTAGAAGCTTCGTCAGCGCACCATGTAACAAAGTCGCCAGCGCCGGTAATGGCGATCTCGAACCAGCTCTGATATCAAATTGCAAGGAATATGAGCGAGAGCGATAGACAGAAACCCAAGTTGCAAAATCTTTAAGTAACTCAGATAGTCACGTACCAAGCAGAGTGCACCAAGATACCGTCGCAATAAGAGCAATACAATGAACTCGTATGTCAATGTCACCACTCTCTAGTCACACCAACACGGTATCCAATGTTGCTCCTACTATCTGACGCCCAGAGCCCAGCCTACTCAGCCTATCTACATCAATCTACGTTCTTGCAACCAGGTCACATCGCAGCTGAATCCAACGTACGTGACGTCATCACCAATGCTGACCGTCAGCATACACCAGGTACATTGTCTCTCCTCTCCTCATCACCCCTTGACTCCCTCTGCATGCGCCTCCTACCCGAAGACCACCATCACCGTCACCTGCATCCGCACGCGCTGCCCGGCTATGGCTGCCGCGCGCCCACTGCCACCGCATTGCCCTCTCAGCTCTCAGCGCCTGTATGCCCCCCAGCCTGCCAGCGCTAAGCAGCACAAGGCAGCAGCGTGGCCGCATTGCCTTGGAAGGCCAGAATGCCGTGCCCAGGCGGCACACACTTTTGTGCCTGCTGCTGGCTTGCCTGGCCAGGCGTGTGGGGGCCCAATAGCTTCAGTCTGGCCCCAAGTGTCTGCGCGCAGGCCCAGTTGCAGATACTGGCCTGGGCCTCGTGCAGTTAGGCACGTTCCGGCAGCCACTCAGCCTCCAAGTGTTCGCAGCATTCTCATTGGCTCGCGGTGCATATGTGACAACAATGCTGCTTTCTCATCGGCCCACAGCCAGTCTGTGATGTGTCGGCCTCACACAGCATGTACCCTGGGCACAACCGCCTCAGCCCTGGGCTCAACTGTACAGCGCAGCCCTTACTTTTGGAAGGAGCCTGAAGGCTTACGTTGCTCTGTAGCCAACTGGCGTGTTGCAACTGATATGAAAAATGTCGAAAGTAGGCCTCACGTGGATATTCAGGGCTGCCTTCACTTAGGGTGGGCATGAGGTTGCTGGGGGCCGCAGCCCAGAACACTTGCATGTCTGATAAGTGCCCCGCGAGGGCTCATTCCTTGCATTATTTAGAAACTGAAATCAATGGTCAGTGACTGGCAGGCGTTTCCTTTTCATCTTGTGAAATCCTTTACTAGTACTTCTCGTCTTCGGGGGGAAGTCGACAAGTGGACGGGCAACACAAGAGCGTTCGTTGCACGTCATTCCACTGTTCATTTGTCCTATACAGTTAGTTCTGTTTCACAACTTGTTTCTGTCAATTCAAAGTCAAAGCCTTTTCTTTTACATTAGTGCAGATGCCTTGGACAATCATGTGAAGTTTTTTTCTCAATCCTCATGAGATGAATTTGACTGCAGCAGTTATTCATCAGTGGTGGTGATTTTCTGTTTTCTACAGGCTGGAGTTGCAGCTGAGGGAGATTGTGACAGCTCAGATCAAAGTTGAAAAAAGCAAGGAGCATTATGAGTGGTAGGGAAGCATCTCTACTGTACTTACCATGCACCTAATGGGCACAACTTGGGCACACGGAAAGCACCATGTACAGCAGCACACTACAGTAGTATGCTCTCCTCCCCAGAAAAAAATCCACAAAAAGGCTTGCGACATAAAATGTGGCTGCAATGTCTCTGTTGAGTCTGTTTTCTTTTTTCTCCTGTTTTGAGTGTGCCCCACTTTGTCTTAGTCCACCGCACAGCACACGGCTCACCACACAGCTGGATGGTAATGACTGTCTCTACTTAACTGTGCTTGCAACACAGAAATAAGTGCCCAGTGCTCTATGTTTTTCTTTTCTTTTAAACCATCAGTACTTGGCCCAGCTATCAAGTCCGAGCCTCCAGCGACCGGTATGTTGAGCCTGCCAAGCCTGGCAGTACCGGTAGCTGGACGGGCCGAGGCTGGGGGGACCAGTTGGAAAACAAAAACAGCAAAAAAAACAAACAAACAACAACGCTGTGGATGTGAATGCAGTTGGATTCATTCTCCTGAGTGCTAATGTGAGCACGTCGCAGTTTGGGTGTATCAGCCCCATGGCGTTTCTGTCAGAATCCAAAAGTAAAATAAGGAAAAAAAAAACAAAGAAATGAATCTCAAAGAAGAAAAAAAAACGAAACATGAATTTGGCCCTGAAATTAGTTAGATACCTTTGTCTGTGTGCAAGTGTGAGTATGCCCTCAACGAGGGCTGTTCAGTAGATCATGGATTATGCCCTGCCTCACTGGCAGGGGAATCTAAGAAAAATGAAAAAAAAAAGCAGAAAAAATAGACATCCAGAATCTACCTGAAATACTAGTGAGAAGCATTCCACCAGGAACAGACGTGACCACGACCGCCGCCCAACTTTTTTTTTATTATTATTATTATTATTTTTTTTAATTTTAATAAAGCAGGTCCTTATGGTCCTGGCTCCTTCTATTCTGGGGAGCGTCAGTCCGGTTCCTATTCCACCGGCAAGTCAAAAAGCACATTACATTGAAAATTAACCACGCTTCCTTCCGTTTGGCCGAAGGACCCCTGAACAGCATTGATTGCTCCACCTTGGTGGAGGATTGACTGTCAGCTTGCCGTGCCCCTCTCTTTCCTCTCAGATCTGGAGTACAGATCTGCCATATAGTGCTATGCTTCCTAGAAAGAGTTCAACCTTTGACCCTGTCGGCCTGTGTCTTCCCCACTCATCTACCCTGCCCGTAGTGTAACCCCTTTCCCATTTTATTTGTCCCCTTTTTTTAAAACATGCTTTAAACCCTAAACCCTAAACCCTCAGCCTGCGAACCCATGTTCCAGCAAACCCTTGAGTCAGTCTTTTGCCCTTGCTTTTGTGCTCTGGTGCCATCCGTCCAACTCTGTGCTATCAATCCATGTCTGTAGCAGTTTCAGCTTGTCTATTTTGTCCGTTCCCCAACCTTAAGCTCTCCTCCCTCAGCCTGTGCATCCATTCTCTAACGTTCCCTTGAGTTAACACTGTTCCCATGTCTCCCGTTTCCCATGCCTGTGTCTTGATCCAGAACTGCTTGCTCGTTGTTGGAAACCTTGCTTGTTTCTGATTAGTGCCGATCCTTCCTAGGTCACTCGGACTTGTTCACTCTTTCTCCTTGCCTTTTAGTGATCCTTCCATACCATGTCCCTTCTTGCTGTGTCGTGTCTGCCTCTTCAGCCCGTAGTTCTGCACTGAGTTCTCGCTTCTGAATTAATCCTCCCCTTCCACTTTCCTGAGTCTGTTCTGGCCTGCTGTCCTGTCCTCCTCCTCAGTGCAAACTTTTCGCCCTCTCAGTTCCCCCTTTGATCCCACTCCCTGGTCCCCTGTCGAACTAGCCCCTTTTGTTAGAGTTCGAAACGTAATTTGACCCACCGACGATGCCCATTTCTGATAGCCCTTTTCTGGCACTGAGTTCTGTCCAGTCTTGGTTGGTCTTACGCCTCCTACACAGGATCTCGACTTGTGTCAACGTTCTGGTTGCTGCCCTCACCTTCTCCAGTAGGTTGGCCCATCCTTCAATTGTTCTGCTGCATCACTCGTTCCGTGTGACCCGCCGGGTCTCTTTCCTGATGAGTTTGAGCCAGATCCCTTCCGCCTTTCGCGCCTTCTCAGGAATGTTAGTCAAGAGGGGAAGTTGAATGGGTTGCTCAGGGGAGGAAGTTGAGAAGGGTGGATCGCATCGTTAGGAAACTCTCGCCCAGTATTCTGTTGTCTCTTTGCAGTGGGCTATGCAGTGCAGTCTCTTCTCTTCCATGCCTTCGGTGCAGACTGTGTATGTTTGCGAGCTGTCAGGATCTGTGTTCTTTTTTTTTTTTTTTTTTTTTTTTTTGGTCGAGTCCTCTAGAGTAGAGAAG